TTAGGCAGAAAAGGTTAATCTTTCTTCTGCTAAAGCTTCAAAACCAACCAAGCTAAGTAAAATATGATTTCTTTCATTTCTTTTTTAGAGGACACTCTCTTTCCCCCCCCTCCCCCCTTAAGTACCAGAATGAGGTCACAGTCAGAGATGCCACAAGAGTAAATTGAAAACAGGTTGAAAAAAAGCAAAAGGGAGAAACAGAGAGAAAACCGCAATCAGAAGAAAGTGACTGGTAACGTTGCAGGGTTGGTTTCAGTCTAGTAGAGAAGCTGTCAAGACAGAGACATTGGTGCCTTCCTACTTTCCCCTTCATCCTCTTTCTAGGAATCTCCCAAAGCAAATCACAGCAGGGAGGCCTCCTCTCTTCTTCATTTCCACTTGGGTTTGCACCGCATGGGTTTTGTCTGTACTGCTTTCGGTGCAGGAACAGGGGATGAAGGAGTGGGAATGCCTGTGAGGGTCCCAGAGCTTCCTTTAGCTCCTCTACCCTCCCAGAGTCTCCTGGCCGGGCTCTCTTGTTTAGTCTGGTGGAACTCAATGCCGTAACTCTTGTTGTCTTTGGTGGGATGGCTGGTAGGTGATTCATCCTGCCTGCTGTCCGTGACTGCTGGGCACTGGCACGGGTCGCAGTGGAAGGACTGAGGCAGACTGAGACTGCGGGATGCTGCGAGCGCGTGGTCTGAGCCTGCTCCCATCTATTTTCATCCTTGGTCACCACTCCTGCCCGTCTGAGCCTCCTGCCACCAGAAATGTACTCGCTCAAGAGCAAATTGCCAGCTCAGCCTTGCAGACAGGCAGCTAAGTTGGGGCTGTCCTCCTCCTGCTGACCAGACACCAAGTTGAGTTCCCAGGTGCCTATGCAGAGCCGTTACGGGGGGATTAACCTGTATGCCTTGGCATGACCAGGAGAAGTTTGCAAAGTTTTGTGGCATGGGGCTAACCCTCCTGCAAGATCCAAGCATGGTGTTATTTTGCTCTGTATTAGGAAGAGCTCTCTCTGACTCACTGCAACACCAGAATCAGTGTAAGATTCATGTATACAAAACCAAAAAAAGGAGGTTTGTCAAGCTCCACAGCCGTGTCTGTGGAAGGGTACAAGGCAGTAGCAAGGGGCTGCATTGGAGAGAGAAGGAAAATACTACCTGGAGGGAGGTGCATCTTCCCGGCAGTCATTAGTAGAGCAGAGATTGATTTTCAAGAACTGCCTGGGGAATTGGATGGTTTGGGGCAGAGCTGTCCTGGGAAGGCAGTGGCATGGCAGTGGGGGTGGGTAGAGATTCTCGCAGTGATATGGTGCACAGATGGGAGTATCAGAACTGCTCTGTTCCTGGTAATCAGCAGGTACCATCTTTTGCTCTGTGCACAGCACTTACCATAGAGATGTTGAGCTCTGGTCTGGATTTTTTGCTACTGAGAAGTGAACACAGGTGAGGCATCCTCACAGGAGCTGGTCTTTTGTCCTTGATATCTGTAACAGCTTATTGCTTTATTTAGCATGACATCAATTATTTATTACTATTAATGAAGGACACAGATGGCTGTCTGGTCAATAAAATATCTCCTACTCCACAGAGATGATCTACTTAGCTATCATTTACTCTGCAGAGAACCTTTAGATTCTTTCTGAAATTTAATAACATGAGCAAAGATACTACAGCAATCTAGAAGGTTTGTGCTTTGGGGCTGCTTTGGGAGGCTGAAATCCTTCTTTATATTTGCTGGCGGGGTGTGCGAGAACACAGGTCCAGATGGGAAAGAGAAGCCCCTTTGCTTTCCACCACAAGCTACTTATCCATATAATCCCTTTTATAAAGCGATCAAACTCCTTAAAAGATAGTTAGGTTATTTGCCCTTCTCTGGAGTAGACCGTTTATTCGTATCCAATTTACTTTCTCTTGCCATTACTACCCATTAGCCTAAATATTTATTTTCCATCTGAGTGCCTGCCCTGTTGATGTATTCACAGAGTCATGTAGCTCTGCTTGGCCTTTTCATGTCTCTGTTCATATGGTAAACTTGTGCTTTTTGTTATTTCCCTGTGAAGTCTTCTCTCCTGCTTTTCCTGTGCCTGGTTCGTAAGCACAGATGAGCTCTCACCGCTGCCTTGTGCATCCAGATCAGTATTCCTCCGTTGCTACAGCAGCCAAATACCAATTTTACCATTTAGGACAACATTAGTGGTCCATCATCCTCTTGCAAAGCCAGCAAATTCACCTGTTCCCTTCGCTGCGTTTCACTGACAAGGTCCACTCGAGCTCTAGGGAATAACTTGTTTTCTGATCCCAGGGAAGGCTTTGGGAATTCCATTGCAGCTGCTCTCAGGGCACCAGGGACTGAACAAAGAGCGACTCCTCATGTGTGAGATGAACAAAGTTGCTGAGTGCTCTGCTTCACGCAGGGGAGAGGATGAGATGGACAGCTCTGGGTCGTCGGTTCGTCCCCTGGAGCATCCCTTACCCGAGCCCACGTTCGCTCCCTGGCCCGCGCAGTCTGGCAGCACCAGTAGTCTTGCTGCTGCTTCTACAGCTGCAGAAAGACTCCCTGCCTTGGGGCTGGGGTTTCAGCACCTTTGCTAGCATCTGTTTTGCTATTTTCATAACAACTTCTTGGCTTTTGTTTGATTGTAGCAGGGCCAACGAGAGGGGAAGGTTCCCGAGAGGCTCAGGATTGAACACAAAGCACCCACTTGCTGTGGGGGTTTTATTGCAAGGGTTTTGGCTTATTCCAAGGTGACACCACCTTGGCAGACCGTGACAGCTTCATTTCCTCCCATGCAGGGGGAAAGCAACGCATTCCACAGCGTGGGCAGGTCTGGTCGGACTCTGTACCAAACCAGACTGTCGTGTGATGCAGCTGCCCCTGCGTTTCGGGCATTGTGCACTGCCAGCCTGCTCCTCCCCCCTCAGAGCTACCCAGAGAGACCAGATAAGCATTTGGAAGTTAGTAGATGCCTTAAGGAGAGATAACTCTGTGATTTTAAGACACAATTTAACTCAGTGGTTGCACATGATGTTTTCCATCCCGTTTACAATCTCCTGCAAGTCTGGTTTCACCCCTCAGCCCTATGTTTTTCTCTCCCATCCCATCTCTTGTGCTCCCTGGCACAGATGTTCTGGCTGCTGCTCCCAGTACCCGTGTGTTGCCAGGCCAAATCTCCCCGTGGTCTTGCCCAGGTACTCAACACAGTCTCACTGCCCAGCTGTTTTCTTTGCTACCTCTCACCGGCTGCCTCTCAGCCCAGAGTGCTCTGGAGGAAGGTGCGAGATCCCACAGCAGGCACCCATGGGACGATCTGTCCCCTGTGAAGCTTCTTCCTGGTCAGAAGTTAGTTGCTTGAGATCTGAAGAGGATTAAAAGCTCTTGTTCAGTAACACAATCTGGTCCTTCTTTGTTACATATTTGTGATTCATCTGGTTTTATGTCATGGCAGGGTCTGTTCTCAATGACTTCTGGTGACAGGGAGTTCCCCAATCCAGCCCGATGTCATGTGAAAAGGGACAGAAATGAAAGTCGGAAACGAGCAATAGAGGTTTGTTTGTTTGTTTAAAGCCTAAACCCAGAGCTAAGGGGCTTGACAGGGACATTCAGTGCTCATGACTTCCAAGCAGTGATTTCACCACCGCCAACCCAACCTGCCCGTTGAGTTGACTTGGGGTTTGGTGCGGACCCGGAGCTGGGGACTGGGTTAAGCTGCGGAGACCGGTGTCAGAGCTGCCTGCAAAAAGTTTGGAAAGAACAAGTCGTGCTGGGAGCATTAAAATGAATAATTAAGGCTTGGATTCCTTTAGGGAGGAAAAGAATTTATTACTGCTCTTTTCTTTAGCCAAGGGGGACATTTGTTACCGAGTTGTGTATTTTGAGACAAGACGCAAATGCGGTTTGGGAGAGCTGGAGGGGGGGTGGGACTTTTTTCTTCTACCTGGGTAATCCAGCCACACAGCGAGATGTTCTGGGCTGCAGATACCACCAAGTTACTTCTTACGGTCTGTATTAAGACTTGTGCTTCATTTCAGTAGTCCTCAGTCACTTTTGCTTTTAGAAAAATAAAGAAGAGTGGTGAGGAGGGAATTCTCCTCCTCCCTCTTCTGCGGTGTCTTGACATTTACACATGCACAAGGTACACGGCACAGCAATCTGGGTCCGGCCTTGCTTATACCAGCAAAACTCTATCAGCTGCAGCAGCCCTTTCCCCAAATCCCATCAGCGGGAACGGGGGCACAACCAGGGCAGCTTCGCTGTTTCTTTTAGTGGTTAATACCTTGGGCTTTGAGTTACACTGATGCAAAGTGGGAATCGAATGCAGGGAGCTCTAACTGACAGACAGCCTGCGCACTGCAGGGAGACAGGTTGCACGACAGTGGGTAATCATGCCCAAAAAGCTTAATAAATGGAGCGTTTTCAGTTTCAGCTGGGTCATGATCGAAGTGTTTAATAAGCTTTATAAACTGTAAGACAAAAAACTGGTTTTCAGCATTTTTAATTAGGTTTTTTTTTTTCTTCGAATGCTTGTAAAGGGGTGAGTATTCTTCAGCACAGCCAAAGGAGCTCCAGTCAGAGCTCCAGGAGCTGGCAGAGTGCACATGAAAGGGAATGCAAAGCTACTGATTTTCAATGAATAAAAAAAAATTCACATTGAGAGCAATTCCATCCAACCTCTATAAATGTCTCCTTTGCTGATAATCTAACATAGCAGAAACACATTTCTCTGTGACAGATGAGTTTTTAAAAAAGCTCATGTCCCCTTTAAGAATTGAATGTGTAACTAGGGCAGGAGATCCCTATCTAGCCAGGCTTCCAGCCCTTCTGGGGGCCTGGAGTCCGTTGTGGATGGCAGTCCCATGTGTGGGGTTTGCAGTGAGCCCACGTGTAGACTTGGGGCCATTCCTACCAGCCACAGCCAGTTGATTGCCTTTCCTGTCTAGAGGTGTTCCTACGGTGTTTTTGAAATAATTTCGTGCCTATATTGATGTTTCGATCTGGCTTATTTCTTTGCTCTCCAGGAGAATCCTTGAGCTTTGCAGATGATTTGCTTTCTGGCCTTGCAACATCCTGTGTGGCAGCGGGTAGGAGCCATGGAGATGTCCCTGAAACCAGCCTCTATTCCGTCATTTTCAAGTGCCTGGAACCAGATGGTCTGTACAAGTAAGGAGAGGCATATGGGGAGGTGCTGGGAGCAAGGGGGGGGGTCTCCACTGCTATCGTTTAATTGTTATTAACCTTGTTGGTTAGTACCATGTTCTACCAGACACTGGACAAATGATGGGACTCCTATTGCTTTGGGTGTTGGGCTCAGCCAGTGAAATGGAAAACCAGTGCCTGGCAGTATGGCACAGGAGGCACTGGGAGTCTGTGGGAGACTCCACTGGAATAACTCACATTTTCGGTATGCTGGGCTTCCAGGTCCATGCCTGGTGCGATAGGGTTGTCTCTTCTGGATGAACTGAGCTGATGTGGTCAGACCACAAGTTACCAAATGCCTGGTGGACCAAAACAGCCAGATGTTGAAAGGGAGATGGGTGTTGTTTGTGTAAGTTGCTGTTTATAGTAGTAGAACACACACCAGATCAGAGAGAGACCAAATCCATCTGCCCACCAAGCAGTAGCTTCTGCAGGGATGCTTGGCCATGCCGGTGCTGATGTCCTGGTGCACTTAGTTGTCTATTCTGAGACACCCTTTGGGATTAGATTTTCTGTTTGAATCCTGTGGAGTAATGAGTGTCTAAAGCAAAGGGATGATTTCAGGACCTGCATATTAACTTCTCCTTCAATATTGTTTGGAGAGAGTCTGGGCTTTTCAATCTCAGTATTGTTTGGAATGGGTCTGGGCTTTTCAATCTGGCTTGTTAGCCAGAGCATCCTGTGTCTTGGGGGGATAGCAGGAGTCTGTAGAATAAAAGAAAAAAAAAAAAGGAGAAAAAAGGCAAGGAGACAGAAGAGAGACAGAGTAAGCAAGAGAGAAACACGCAGGGCTTAATGTCAGAGTGACTGTAATAATTAAAACACATTTTGTAGTGAGTAATGAAACTTTTTATGGGACCACAAAAGCATTTAAAGCGAGAGTTGGCAAATGGTCTGTCAGCGAGAACTTTTAAAGATTTTGATTAATACTTTCCCTTTGCCTCCCCCTCCACCATCCCCCAGTTAAGTATGTTGACAGCCTCCAAAGAAGGAAAAGCCTTTATTGTGCATCTCTGGAGCAGGGCTGTGTCCAGGAGTGGGGTCCAACTGACACCTCTTGCCATTAAATAATTTGAAAGTTTTCCTGTTAAATATATATAGCACATAAATATAATTAGGATATCTCTGGGAACTGGGCTGCCCTGAAAAGGTGCCAGGGAGAGGCTGGAGCAACCACAGAGCTTGCTAATAACCCACCACCCATAAAATGTGCTGGTTGTGAGCTCTTGGCTGTTCATCTTACTGCCAGGTTTGATGGGGAGGGTGCTGCTGAGGTGAACACATGGAGCTGGGAGCTGTGTGGCTGGCTCGTGGGTCACTTGGGCTGCCAAGGCATCTTCCCCATCTGCTGAGCGGGCATAAAGCGACTCACACATCGCTTTGGGGGCTCTGTGATCTAAATCCTGATGTCTGCAAAGGTCTAGGAGAGCCTCGGGTGGAAGGTGTAGGGCTTTGCCCGGGGTTGTGTCATCCCTTTGGTCAAAGGCAGGTTTCTGCTTCATGGTCATGAGGCACATTGCAATGGAGGGGGTGTCCCATGTCCTGGGGTACTAGGGCCAGCTCCTGCTCTCTGTTGGTGCCCCTGCGTGGGGGATAGTATCTTTTTGTGGGGAGCCCTAGCTGAAGACAGCCAGTGAGCAGCGGTCCCCTGGCATCGAGGAGCTTTGGACCTTGTCCATCGGTGGGGATGGGGCCCCGGGGTGACACATGGTGTTGGCTCTGTCCCGCAGGTGATGCTTACAAGGCTTGGCACGCCGTTCCCAGGGCTGCGCACACTTAGGCACACATGTACGCACCCAGGTTCACATAGGAGCTGGAGGGCATGGACCTGCACTCCTGAGCATCAAAAAACCATGCACACACACACACACTGCAGCACACCCTCCTCGCCTCAGCTGCTGCATGCCCCAGCACTCCTGCATGCGCCAGTGCACCCGCTGCTCGCCGTGATCGCATGCACCGCCGCCGGTGCTACGTGTCCAGCACACACACACGCTTGCTCCGAGCTGGGACCTCACCAGCACGTGCATACTTCGCATCTGTGCGTTCTCAGCTACATGGGCACACGCGTTAAACATTCCTCTGTTCAGATGTCCGTACAGTTGCAACACAGCGTGAAGAAAGCCAGAACAGTGAAATGTGAGGCTAACACACTGTTCCGAGCCCGCGCAGACGTAACAACAACATAAACACGGGCCCGGGGTCATTTCTTAAATTGAATTTCTTCTGGTTGTTTCATTTGTTTCTGTGGAAAAACAGCTATCTTTGGAAGGCTCTAGCCTGGATATAATCCTGATTACAGCCACTCGGCAGGGACCTGTGCTTTCCTGTAGGCTGTTAGGTGAGCACACAGAGTCTGCAGCATCAGAGCTCTTCTGAAGCAAATGCTTTTGCTTGTTCAGCAGTCTGGCGGTATCACGTGTACCAGGAGAGGACTCTCAGATCATGGAAGTCTCTTCTGCTCTGCAAATGTGTCGGACATCCTGTCCTTTTTCTTCTGTAGTACCTATGGCAGTTACGCTCTGCTGTTGGCCATCCGTTTGGAGTATTACCAGCCTGAGATCAAAGCTGGGCTTGAGTATGAGAAACAAAACCAAAAAATGCTCCACGAGCAAACAAATAAACAAAGCCTGATTGATTCCTCTGCTTTTGGACTTCTGTAATTTCAAAACATAAACTAACAAAAGGAGAACTAATTTCTTTGTCCTTTGCAATTTCAGTCTGATGAAAATATGTTGTTTGTCAGCCCTTTTCTTTCCCCTGCCTGCAGTACGTTGGGATTGAGATGCTGGTCCCTGCACAGGGAGTTTTCAGAGGGAAAGTAGTTCATGTCAACAATGATACATGTGCTCCACAGGCTCGTGGCCACATGTGGACACTCCTGTGTCTGTCAGACATGGGTGCCTGTGATGGGGATCCATGCTGCCGTCCTGTGAATGTGCTTGTGGGCACCCATACGTGGGCACTGAGGGTGGTCCTCGAAGACTGTCAAGTTTGATTTAAGCGCTTAGAGAACAGAAGTCTCATAATTCTTGCAAAATGCATCACAGGAGAGGGGATTGTTCTCCCCCAAGCTCAGCTAGACCAGGGCAGTCTGTCAAGCTTCCTCCCAGGTGGATCTGGAGGAGAATGGGTGAGGAAGGCAGAGGGAGAGATGTCTAGTGTCTGTTAAGTGCTTGTCTTGCACGGACCAGCCAGTCTGGACAGTGTTTAATGCCAATCAGACTGATGGCTTGGGAGCTTGGGAGCACCATGCTGTGACAGACAACTTGTGATGCAACAAGCATCAGTCAAGAGAATGGGCTTTGGCTTGTCTCTGACATCAAACTCAGCCTGGAGGAGGCTTTCATTGCTCATGACCCTTTCATAGCTCAGCACCCTACAAAACCAACTGATCTCTTCACTGTGGAGACAGTAGCTTCCCCTGTGCATCCCGCAGTCTCCCCGAGCCTTCAGCCCAGCTCATCCATCTTGCTAGCTCATCCATCTCAGCTTCTCACCTATCATTCCCCGAGTGCCTGGGGATGCCTCTTTGCTGAGCTGTACCTGATTGGCTGCTGGAAAACAGCTTTGCCAGCCCAGTACATTCATTTTAGATACTTGCGGCGACACCAAGTATCCCTCAGCCAAAAAGAGAAATTTTGGAAAGGGGAAATGAGAACCCCCTCCAGCTCCTCAATGGAGCTGCAGTGCAAGAACACCAACTTCCCTGCGCCACAGATACTATAATTATAGATTAGATTAAATCCCAATGTTTCACTTTATTTACATTCCTGACCTAGCCTATTCATTTCCGGTGTTTGTGCCAAGAATCAGCACAAAATTTACTGGAAATAATATGGAAGTCATCAGGATCCCTTCCAGAGCCTTTCCTTGGAGTGCGTTCATGTGCTGAGAAGGAGCCTCGAATTTGCATTCCCTTTGCTAGCTCAGAAAGGGTTTCCCCAGGGTGATCCTGAGCCAGCCCAAAGACTCTGGAGAGCGTGTTTCAGGGGTGTTGGAAAGGTGGAAGCCCCTTTCCAGGGGATGGAGATTGGGCACAGCCCTCGGATAGAATGGGATTTAGTTAGACCTCAGAATGACATCACAAGGCTCCCATCCACAGCCAAGATGCACCAAGACCTGCCCAGCCAGTGTCATCCCCTGTAGGGTCTGGAGGCCATCACCAGCATGGCCAGGCTTAGCCTCTGTCATCAAATGCTGCCTAACAGAGAACATACTTTATTTTGGCAATATCTGGAGGGAGGAAAAGGCATCAAGTAGGGGGAACCCATCGTAGCACGGCGAGACAGCGATTGCAGTTCAGCAAGTTGAATGTGCGAAAGGAGCTGTCCCAGAACAAGGCTGATTAATGCTGACTGACCTCTGCCTTGTGCATAGCTGGGATAAAAAGTGGAATGGAAACCCTTGGTTCTCAAGAGTGTGCTAATGCTGGCAGCAGTCCGCTGCTCCTTATATGATACTAATTGTTATTGTTGATCTTCTGTCAGGAAGACACGTGAATGAGCACTGCAGCAATCTGAGACAGACCCCAAATAGCTCAGTGGCATGGGTTAAAACACATCTGTTACAGCCCTTGGCTGTGTCCCCTGTGTACACGGGAGCTGTGCTGCTTCATTGAATCCACCTCTTCTATTCCGTATGCTCTCCAACTTCCTGAAGCCAGGCAGCATATGGCTGTAGTT